CCCTTCCACCCTCTCTCTCTCTATCTCACCCCCTCTATCTATCCCCATCCACCCCCCTCTATCTATCCCCATCCACCCCCTCTATCTCTCTCTCTATCCCCATCTAGCCCAGCAGCTGTCTGGGGGCCGTCAGACATGCCCTGTGCTCTGACTTTCCCCCTCCTCCCCTTCTGCCCTGCCCTGTGGCAGGAGGTGCCCGGGGCTGGGTGTGCTGGTTCCCACCCCCCACAGGCCGGCTGCCTTGGGGCAGGGATGGCCTCTCCCTCTCTGTCTCGTTCCCCAGTGGTTGAGGCCAGGAGGGGGCATTCGCTCATCCCCTCGGACCCCCTGAGGGCCTAGCTCCAGGCAGGGAATTTCAGCCTCCTTCCCCGGTCGGGCCCCCAGTCCGGAGCACAGCCAAACGGAGATGGAGGCTGTCCCACGGCCCGGGGTCTCTCTCCCAGGGGTTAATCACAGACCCGCCCCCATGACTCCCAGCTGGAACTGGCCTGGCATTGCTGGCCAGCCATTGGGGCTGGGCCGGAGCCGGGGCTGGCTCCCTTTGCAAGCAGCTGAGCGTCTCTCTCAGCCCCAGATCCTCTCCGAGTCGTGGGCCAGGCCCCCGGGCCGTGAACCCAGCCCCCGGCAGCCCTGTCCGGTCGCTGCTGCCCCTGGCTGAGCAGGGCTGGAGTGAGGCCTGGGGGGGGCGCTGATTTCACTCAGCCAGGGCCAGTGGGATCCAACCTCCCCCCACACTAAGCTCCCACCCAGGTCTTGCTGGTGCCTTAGGGCTGCCCAAGAACCTGCTTATGGGGGGTGGGGTCAGCACCCCCAGACTGGGGGGCTCAAAACCACCGACCCACCCTCAGGGATTGGCCAGTGGGACTCCCTGCCACTTGTCACCCCTGGGGGGGGGAACTGAAGGGAGCAGGGGCGGGGCTTGCACGGAGAGTTGTGAAAAGGGCGGGGCTTGCACGGAGAGTTGTGAACAGGGGCGGGGCTTCCGCGGGGAGTTACAGCAGGGGGCGTGGCCGGGAGGAGTCGGGGCCAATTTGAGTAACGGGCGGGGCGTGACTGGGAATGGGAGATTGGGTGGGGCCTAAATGAGGGGCGGGGCCTGCGTCTGGAAAGGAGAATGACAGGGTGCGGCACTTCCGCATTTCAGTGACGTCAGGCGCAATCAACCAATGCGGACTCGTAGCGGATTGTTGCAAGATGAGGTTGCGCACGTCGAGGGGCACGTGGGCCATCGGGCAGGTCCCGCGCAGGCGCAGAGCCGGCACTGGGCCCCCCCCCTGCGCAGGCGCGGTGCCGTCGGGCGGGGCGGTTCCGGGTGCGGCTGCGGCAGCGGGGATCGGATCGCAGCGGCCATGGCGGCGGCGACAGCGGCGGCCCCGGGGGGGCCCGGCCCGGTGCCGGGGGCGCCCAAGCTGGGGGTGGAGTCGGTGAAGGGGCAGGTGTTCGACGTGGGGCCGCGCTACACGGACCTGCAGTACATCGGGGAGGGGGCGTACGGCATGGTCTGGTGAGCGCTGCCGGCCGCCGTACGCGGCCCGATCCCCCCGCGCTCCTCCCGGCCACCGTACCCGGCCCGATCCCCCCGCGCTCCTCCCGGCCACCGTACCCG